TTGGTTATCAGCCGTAGCTCTTGTTTCCGTGGTTTTCCCACTTAAACCCGGCCAGAGGGTTTTAGTGGGTATAGGCCTCGCCATCTCCTCGGGGGTGCTGCCTTAGGCGCACCGGCGGCACCGGATCGGAGGAACACCGGTATATGCCGCCCAAGCTGGACGAGGAGCGGCCGTACAGAGGTACGCGAGCAGGCGCGAAAGGACGCAAGAAGAGGTTCTATAATATACAAGACGAACTGGTCCGCGCTTGGCTGGAGGCTATTCTCGGTAAGGCTCACTAAGGCCACCTTCGAAGACATATCCGAGGGTCACTATCTGACTGTGCTGCAGTTCCACGAGGCAGGCGATGAGATTGACGAGGAGCACCTCATCTGGGAGGACCTGGCTGGTTACTACCCAGACATCTCGAGGGCCGTCGCTGCCGTGGTTGAGCGCAGGGGTGCTGCCGAAGGCGCACCGGGCTCCTCAAGAGCTCCTGGACCCAAGGCTAAGTGGCAGCCGAAGGCAAAGGCCAAGGAGCCAGCAGGCCCGCCGCCGGCAAAGGCAAAGGCCAAAGAACCAGCTGGCCCGCCACCGGTGAAGGCGAAGCCGAAGGAGCCTGCGGAGCCACCGTCAAGGGCAAAGGCCCCATCGCTGGGCATCTCCGGGCCAACGTGCGATCTGTATCAGCCCTTGCGGCGCGACCCACTGCGAAGAAGACGGGTCCCCGTGGAAGAGCCGACAGAAGAAGCGGACGCTGGGGATCTGAGTGCATCCGGAGGCGCACTAGAACGCCCGTCCTTGAGACAAGCCAGGAGGGCACGAACACCACCTTCGACGCGTGCTGCGGAAACTGGTTTTATTCGTGACCTTCGTTCCTTCTTTCCCCTCGCGTGGGTTTCGAAACGCCAGACATCGGTCAGTCGGAGTACTACCGAATCTGAGATTGTGTCTTTAGCGCACAGCCTTTTCCAAGAGGCATTGCCTGCGCTGCAACTATGGCAAACCATCCTTGATTTCCCGATAAGGTTGGTCATCCACGAGGATAACCAAGCGACCATCCTGGTTGCAAAGAAAGGATATTCCCCTAAGTTGCGGCACATTGCACGTACCCACAAGGTAAACCTTGGATCAATAGCTGAAGTGTTGGACGCATACGACGTTGCTTTGCAGTACGTCGAGACACTCCCAGGCAGCAGACATCTTCACCAAAGCTCTCGCTCCACAGAAGTGGGACAACGCCTTGAAGTTACAAGGCATGCGCCAAAAGCTTCCCGAGGTGCTTGTCGATGTCCGTCAGCTGAAGACTAAAGCAGGGAGTGGCCCAACAACGGCCGCCAACACCAGCACAGCGTCCAAGTAGATGCGTCAACCTGCGCGTCCAGATGCATTGCACAGGGAGCTGCTTATAGCGCTCCTGCCATATAGGGGGCTGCATTATGCGCCCCGCGTGTACAGAAGGCT